TGTACTAACATTTAAATTCAGGGACAATTACATAATGTGCCCAGTACCTGGTTCAGCTGATTCTTCGGGAGATTGACGTCAAGGGGTAAAGCTGTTCGGCGAATAAAAATATAAGCCTTCACTAAAAAAAGATTATATGCACACGTGCGGACATATTATATGTAAAGAATCGAAATGTCAGCATACCAAATACGTATATTAGGACAAAAGAACAGTTAGGAGTCTAGCCAAGGGTGACAATAATACATAATAGCTGTCTGATGTAACTTGGTATAAAAGTATAGGTACCTAATTATTGTCACTTTTCCACGTAGGTAGTGTCTTAAAGGTCGTGTGCTATTTAAAGGTGTTTATCTAAGCCACCCACTAGAGTAACGGTCTTCTGCATAGTACAACTTAAAGTACTATATCGAGAACAGTCAAACGAGGTCCTTTTACATATGTACAAAAAGCAAAAACACTGGAGGCCACCCCGAGGGGCGACACAATCCTTAAATATTAAAGAAGAACACGGGGGGGGAAGAGGGGAAAAAGGAAAAAAAAAAGGAGAAAAAAGGAAGAAAAGAAGGAAGAAAAGGAGAAAGGAAGAAAGGAAGAGGGGAGGAGGGGGAGAGGGAAGGAGAGAGGGGGAGGGAAAAGGGAAAAAGAGGGGAAAAGAGGGGAGAGAAGAGGGAGGAGGAGGAGGGAGGGGGGGAAAAAAAGGAAAAAGAAAAGGAAAAAGGCGGAGAGAAAGAAGGAAGAAAGAGGGAAAAAAGAGAGAAAGAAAGAAAGGGGAAAAGAGGAGAGGAGGGGAAAAGAAGAGGAAAGAAAGAAGAGAGGAAAGGAGGAAGAGGAGGAAAAGAACGGGAGGGAGGGAGAGGGGGGAAAAGAGAAAGGGGGGGAGGAAGGGAAAAGGGGAGAGGAGGGAGGGAAGAAGAGGGGGAGGGGGAGGGGAAGGGGAGAGGAGAAGAAGGGGAGGGAAGGGGGGAAAAAAAAGGAAAAAAAGGGAAGAAAGGGAAGAAAAGGAGGAGAGAAGGAGAGGAAAGAGAGGGGGGAGGGGAAGAGAGGAAAAGAAGGGAAGAAGGGGAAAAAGGGGAGGAAAAGAAAAGAAAAGAGGGGGAGAAAGGAAAAGAAGAGGAGAGGGGGGGAGGAGGGGGGAAGGAAAGAGGAAGGGAGAGGAGAGAAAGAAGAAAGGGGAGGGAAGGGAGAAGGGAAGGGGAGGAGGAAGGAGGGAAAGAAAGAAAAAGAAGAAAGAGGGGAAAGGGAGAGAGAAGAGGGAGGGGGAGGGGGGAGGAAGGAGGGGAAGAAGGGGGGAGAAGAAGCGGGGAGGAGAGGGAAGAGAAAGAAGAAAGGGGAGGGGAAAGAAAAAGAGAGAGAAAAGAGAGGGGGGGAGGGAAAAGGAGAAAAGAAAAGGAAAAAACGGGGGAAGGGAGGGGAGAAAAAGGGAAGGAGAGAGAGAGGGCAGAGAGGAGGAAGGGAAAAGAAAGGAGGGAGAGAAGAGGGAAGAGGGGGGGAGGAACGGAGGGAGAAGGGGAAAGGAGGAAAAGGAAGGAAGGAAAAAAGAAGGGAGAAAGGGGGGAGGGAGAGAAAGGGGGGAAAAGAGGGAAAAGAAGAGAAAGAAGGGGAAAGAAAGAAGGAGAGGAGAGAGAAAAAGAGAAGAAAAAAAGAGGGGGAGAGGGGAGGGGAAAGGAGAGGGGAAGAAAAAGGGGGAGGAGGAAGGGGGAGGAGGGGGGAGGAGGGAGAGGAGGAAAGAAGGAAGGGAGGAAGAAGAGGGGGGGAGAGGAGCGAAGGAGAAGAGGAGGGGGAAAAAAACGGGGAGGGAGAGAGGGGAAGGGGGGGGGGAAAAAAAAGGAGAGGAGAGAAAAGGGCGGAAGAAAGAGAGGAGAAGGAGGGGAGGCGGGGAAGGAAGAAGAGAGGGGGAAAAGAGGAGGGGGGAGAGGGGGAAGGAAGGAAGGGGAGGGAGAAGGGGAAGGAGGGGAAAGGAGGGGGGGAGGGCAGGAAGGAGGAGAAGGGGAGGGAGGGGGAGGGAGGGGGGAGGAGGGGAGGGGAGGGGAAGAGGAGGAAAGGGGGAGAAAAGGAGAGGAAAACAGGGAGGGAAGAGAAGAAAAGAAAGAAAAGAGGGGGGGGAAAGGAGAAGAAAAGGGAGAGGGGGGGAGGGGGGGAGAGGGGGGAGAGGGAGGAGAGGGGCGAGAGGGAGGAGAGGGAGGAAGGGGAGGAGAGGGAGGAGGAGAGGGGAGGGGAGGGGAGGGGGGGGAGGGGAGGGGGGAGGAGGGGGGAGGAGGAGGAGAGAAAGAAAGAGGAGGAGAAGAAGAAGGAGGAGAAGAAGGGGGAGGGAAAAGGAGAAAGAAGGGGAAGAAAAGAAAAGAAAACGAAGGAAGGAAAAGCCAAGGAAAGGAAAGGAAAAGGAAAAAGAAAGAGAAGAGAAGAAAAGAAAGGGAGGAAAAGGAAGAAAGGGAAAAGAGAAAGCGAAGAAAGGGGACGGGGAAGAGAGGAAAAAGCGGGGAAGAGAAAAGGGGAAGAAGAGAAAGGAGGGGAAAGGAAGAAGGAGAGGAGAGAGAGAAAAAAAAAAGGAGAGGAGGGGAAGAAAAAGGGAGGGGAAAGGGGAAGAGGGGGGGAGGAGGGAGAGGAGGAAAAAGAGGAAGGGAGGAAGAAGAGGGGGGGAGAGGGGGAGGAAAGAAGGGGAAGGAAAAGGAAGAAAGGAGGGAAAGAAAGGAAAAGAACAGAAGAAGAGAAGGGGGGGAGGGAGAGAGGGAGGAAGGACGGGAGGAAGGGGGGAGAAGAAAGGAAAGAGGAGGAGGGGGAGGAGGGGGAGGGGAAGAAAGGGGGGGGAAAAGGGAAGGGAGGAAGGGAAGAAGGGAGGGGGAAGGAGGGGAAAGCGGGCGGGAAAAAGGAAAGGGAGAGGAGAGAGGAGAGGAGGGGAAGGGAAGAAGAAGGGAGGAAGCGGACGAAACGGAGAGGGAAAGGAAAAAAGGGGAGGAAGAGAGAGAGAGGGGGAGGGGAGGAGGGGGGAGGAGGAGGGAAAGAAAAGAGAGGGAAAAGAAAAGGGAGGAGGGAGAGGAAAGAAAAGAAAAAAGGAGGAGAAAAAAGAGAAAAGAGAAAAGAGAAAAGAAAAGAAGAAGAAAAAAGAAGAGGAAAGGAAGAGGAAAAAAGAGGGGAGGGAAGGAAGAAGGAGAGGAGGGAAGGAGAAGGAAAGGGGAGAGAAAGGGGAGAGAAAGAGGAGAGGGAGGGGGAGAGAAAGGGAGGAAAGGGGAGAGAGAGGGGGAGGGGAGAAGAGGGAAAAAAGAGAAGGAGAGAAGGAAACAAAAAGAAGAGAAGAAAAGAGAGAAAGGGGAGAGGAGAAGGAAAGGAAAGGAAAGGAAAGGAAAGAAAAGGAGAAAAGGAAAGAGAAACGAAAAAGAGGAAGAAAAAAGAGGAGAAAAAGGAGAAGAGAGAGGGAAAGAAAAGAAAGAGAAAAGAGAAAAAAAGAGGAAGAAAAGGAGAGAAGGGGAGGGAGAGGGGGAAGGGAGGGAAGGGAAAGGGGGGGGAGGAGGGAAAGAAAACGGGGGAGAGGAGGAAGGGAAGAGGAAGGAGGAGAAAGAGGAGAGAAAGAAGGGAGAAAGAGAGAAAGGAACAAAGGGGGAAAAAGGAGAGGAGGGGAAGGAGGAAAAGAAGGGAGGAAGGGGAGGGAGGAGAGAGGAGAGAAGGAGAAAGAAAGGGGAAAAAAAAGGAGAGGGAAAGAAGGGAAGGGGGAAAAGGGAGGGAAAAAAGGAAAAGGGAGAGGAGGAGAAAGGGAGGAAGAAAGAGAGGAGAAGAGGGAAAAAAAAGGAAAGAGAGGGGGAGGGAAGAAAGAAAAAGAAAGGAAAGAGAGAGAGAGGGGGGAAGGGAGGAGAAAGGAGGAGGGAGGAGAGGGAGGAGAGGGAGGAGAGGAGGAGGGAGGAGAGGGAGGAGGGAGGAGAGGGAGGAGAGGGAGGAGAGGGAGGAGAGGGAGGAGGGAGGGAGGAGGGAAGGGGGGGAGGGGGGGGGGAGGGGGGGGAGGGGAAGGAGAAGGAGGAGAAAAAGAAGAAGGAGAAGAGGGGGAAGGAAAGGGAGAAAGAAGGAGAACCAAAGGGAAGAAAAGCAAGGAAGGAAAAGAAAAGAAAGAAAAGGAAGAAAAGGGAGAGAAGGAAGAAAGGGAGAAGAAGAGAAGGGGGAAGGGGGGAAAGAAAGGGAAAAAGGGAAAGGAGGGAAAGAGAAGGGGGGGAGAAGGGGGGGAGAGGGAGAGAAGAGAGAAAAGGGAAAAGGCAGGAAGGAGGGAGAGAAGAGGGAGGAGGAGGGGGGGGCAGAAGGAGGGAGGAGGGGGGAGAAGCAGGGGGGAAGGGAGGGAAGAGAAAGAAGAAAAAAGAAAAAAGAAAAAAGGGAAGAGAAGGAAAGAAGAGACAAGCGTGAAGGGAGAGAAGAGGAAGGAGTGAGGAGGGAAGAAGGAAGGAGAAAGAGGAATAAGATAATAAATTTAATTAAATATTTTAAAATATTATAAATAATAATAAAATAATTAAAATATATTAAAATATAAATAATATATTTATAAAATATTTTTAATTAATTTTATTAATTTAAAACCTATTAGCGTAAGGCTGAGATAACTAGCGCAAGGCTGAGATGTAAGGCTAACAAAGCTTTACCTTTAACATATTAAAAATCTCTTGACACAAAACCTTAAGTAAACTTAAGGCATATTACCCTAAACAAGCCAATGCTGACTCTCGACACAAGCTTAAAATAACAACTACTAGCGGAACATTACACTTGAGCATCTCAATTAGGAAGACTGATAAGACTGATTTCCAAATCTAACCGGCAACTCCATTTTCCTATGCGTTACGGAAACAAGCAAAAGAACCTATCATGACCAGGCGTTTAATTTACACTTGAAATAGTACCCAGTAACACCCTCTACAGATTTTTTGATTGAAGCTTCTTCAGCCTCGTCGCACCTTCGTATACACCCCTATCAACCGCCGCAGCTACTGTTAGCGTACCACCGATCACAGCACATAGGCCTGTTAAAAAGCCGCGGTGAAAGTTTTAGCACGTTCCTCGCGGTTGATCACTTTCATTGGAGAGATATCCTATTTCATATTAGTAGTTGTTTCGTTAGGTAGGGACCGAGCGAAACACTCACGTAAGAAAAGAATACACCCGGGATACCGCCTCTCGCGTGCATCCGTTCTTGGTGACCCTCAGCTGCATCATCACCGCCAGCCAAGCTTCGCTTGTGGCTTGTGACCGAGTACTGATGAGTCTCCATGCTGCCATCAGTTGCATGGCCCAGACCTCCCAACCAGGTCTCGTCGTCAAGTTGCCTGTTATGTCCGTTTGCCGTTGACCAGCTTAGGGGAAGATACGCAGTAGGGACAACTTTGACAAAATACATGAAGTTGAAAGCGGGATCCTCGGTAGTCTGCTTGACTTGGTCAAGAGGTTGATTGATGTGGTGGTTAGTCCAAGGGCTGTTTTTGGCATGCTTCCGCGTGATGTCTTCAGGGAGCTGAGGTCCGAAGCGAAGTTGGTGGACCTCGTGCTCAAATGAGTGACGAACCGGGCTATCCCAGTAGTTCTTCAGATCGTGGACATGCATATTGCCGCTGCTGAAACTTCGACCCGGCGCAAAGTGAAAGTTACCAATAACCTTGTTGACGCGAATCGCGCCTTCAATTCGGCACCCTTCGTGTCTCTGCTCGTCCAACCTCTCAGCGTAGTGTTCCCGTAAGCATTGCTCGACACCTTCGCCCCTACCAAAAGCCCAAGACGCTTGCTGGTACGCGTCCCGAACCTCATCACAGGTATTACAGCAGCCGGGTTTCGCGGCGTTAGCAGGAGCAGGGGCGCCGTAGCAGGGGCCGCAGTAGTTGGGATCTAGGTGTTCTGCGGTCTCTTCCTTGCCATGGCTGAGCTGGTTAGCCGGGTGGAATTAGAAGAGATGATAATGTGATCAGACTCACAGAGATAAAGCGGTCACATCAATGACGCCGCCGCCTTGCGTAATTGGTTGCAGTCTAACTTTCTTCACACCATGTAAAACACCATGCTGTTGCTCACCAGAGACATCCATCACGTCAAGGGTTAGGAGCTCGCAAGGCAGCCTGGGGAAGGTGATGTTCATATGAATTTCCATGCGCTCTCCTGCGATCGGGGGTGTAAGAAGCTTGAATCAAGACAGGGGAGCATACTGTTATTAACCCACCTCTGCCTTTGTCGACAATAAGTTCGGGGTGGATAACTATCCTCCTGTAGTCGGACCATTCCCCCCAGGCAAGATAGAAAACGATGATCAGGGATACGATGGTGACGATTCCGCCCGAGGTAGTTCGTATGCGCGCATCCTCGACAGTCTTGGTAAAGGCATCTAGCCTTGTGAATCTTGATTCGGAGGCATGTCGGATAAGTTGCGCAGGTCAGATCAACTCGAGTTTTGCGCGATGGGAACAAAACCTTGACCAGTACTATTTTTTTTTTTTAGCACCTAGGTAAGTAGGCCGTAGGAAAAGTCAATGGCAAGGTAAAGCCAGAACCAATAGGAGAATTGTATAAAATCACCGTAGACGCCGCATTGGAATGTCCAAGCTCAGCGTGGAGTAAAGAATGGAAATCGCAATACGATCAAGAAGCTAGGATAGATGCAAACTTGAGATACGTGCATTAAGATACGTGTATAAATCGAAAGGCCACCTTCGCCTTTCCAGCAAACAATTAAGCCGAGTCCCAGGGACAGCTCAGCTGATGTACTAGGGTCCGTTTGGAGGCGGGCTAGAACATATGCATCTACCAGGTTGGGAGCTTACGTATATGTGTGCAAGGGTCTATATGCATCACCCTGATCATCATGTACATAAAGCAGATTCAAACTTAAACTCAAGTACCCTTCTAAAATTAACTAACTATGCTAATTAGGTAGGTACCTCTCCACATCTTCTAAGAGTGATTCTCCTATGTATTTCTAGTAGACACCCCACCTTCATATACATACATAAGGTACTATTCGGCTCATAATTCTTTGTCGTTTGCTGTAACGAAGTCAACTTATTGACAGGTAGGTACAACACCCCATACAACATAAGTATTCACTGCTTTGCCCATATAAGCTGATAGTTATTGCCGTCTTGAGTCTGTCCTTTGCTCTTCAAAGCAACAGCTTTGCCCCGGAAGGCTTGCTATCATCAAATGGAACGTAGCTGTCCAACGCTCGGTTGTGAACAAGAACTATACATTCAACTTTAGTATTGTAACTCAATATGTCAAGTCAAGAGGATCACCAACTATCAGACTTATAATCCGATGCATGTACCCAAAAGAGTAGTAGTGACCGAGTCGTCACAAACGAGCTTTAGATCTTCTTCTTCCTTAAACCAACATCTGCTGCCGGCACTATTCTTGATCTCGAGTTGGGTCCACGGCCTGTCGACGTATATAGGACCAACAGCTTGCGCAGTAAAAGTATCGCAGTTTCCAGATACAGTCCAACTCGCATCCGCCGTCAGACATCCGACTTCTGCTGCCTGGCTCCAGCTATAAACACGAACTTGACCACTCTCGGTACCAGAAGTCGGCCATCCGGTTCCTAAGGCCAGGGTAGTAGTCGCCGTTGATAAAACGAGTCCAATGTTGAAGAGGCTAGCCATTTTGCTGTAGACAAGCTTCATTCGTTCCAATTTTGGTGAGCCAGACGGGAAAGCTATAACTACGAGAGATGAACACTGCTTTATAGACATCATTCAGAACCAGTAATCACGTTGGTTTCTCTGTAAAATTAAGCTCTTCGATTATCCCAGAGTTTGTCGGGCGTGTCGAGTAGACGTTCCACCGAGGTTTCCTATTCGGGCAACTAGGGCACGATGCTCGGCGGATTCGATCAAAAAATCCCTGGCCTACACGTGGGAAAGCGCCTGGGGTTGCTTGTTTCGACCCTCTTGAGCCTTACAGCTGCAGTATTATCATGCTAGTCAGCTTAACATCCCGAACGTAGATGGCATTTTGAAAAACGGTCACGCCGGTTGCATTGTAATATTGTCAATGCCTCGGTTTCTCTGAAAGCATATGGTAATGTCAGAAAAGACGAAGCATAGAATACCACGAGTAATTCTCATATTATCCGGGGTCTTTATGGCCTATAAACCTCGGTATCATGTTACCAAGGTCGACTGTGAGCTGACTACTCTGGTACTTGGTTGTGTTGATTAGTATCACAAACTCCGTGGCCTATTAGCAAGACTTCGGCATGGTTGTTCCTTAATCTAGACTACCTTTTATACTAGGTCTCATCCTGGGGCCTTTAGTAGATCGTCCAAGGAGACAAGGTACATTTCTCGTAACTATAGCCCCCCGGCGTGTTGGTATTATAAAGAACATATACTACGTTTCATTTATGTTGCAATCTCTTATAATAAAACCTCTGTACGGATTCGATCATATGACCTAGTACTTACTGTAGAGAAGTGAGAAGTGAGAAGAAACACATACTTTGTTCTCTCTCATACTACTAATACTTATTATAAATATCTTAAATATGTAGGGCAGGCCATCATACTACATTACATACCCATCTTGACATGCCAAATAACGTTATACATCTTAGTCCTTTTATGATGCTCGGTCGGGATTTGCTATCCATTGAGCGTCATAAGGGGACAACTCAACCGCTCGCTGACCGAAAGAATCTCGTTTCCTTAACTTGCGGTCAACATCTGCTGCCGTCAAGTTACCACAATTCGGTCGCTTCAGCTTGTTGCCAAACGTGTCGACCGCCCAGATCAGCACACCGTTCGTCCACCCGAATCCCTCAACGACTTCGTATTCGCCTCCTCCGCCGGCAACATTAGTCGAGTCGTCAGCGTCTATGAAGAGTTAGTGATTGCTAAGGCCTAAAAGGTCTGCTGCTTAATGAGGTATGTGTTTAGGAGGCATGGGGATATATGCTAAAAGGAATAACGACATACTATAATCATGTTAGCCTTATTCTAGAACAACCTTACAACTATCATACGTACCATTTCTCAAACATAATTCCCACATTCTCCGGACCAAGTCCCTCTAGTTTCGGTGTCTCACTTGTAGAGCCGCCCGTCGCACGCCACGTACAAAATGTGCTATCTAAGTAGCGCTGCGCCAACGTAAGAGAAAGGTCCTGGGTTTCGATGTATGCAGGATCCTCTTTTCCGAAAGTCGCCGGGGTTTTAAGCAGGCCTTTCATGAGCACATACATCAGTGGCGGCCAGACATTCGGTTGATCCCACTGCTGGCCAGTGTGATAATTTGTGGCTGCGATACCACCGGCCTTCTCGGAGGCAAAGTCAGAAACGCGCTGGAACGCGAGCTTCACAGCTAGGGGGTTGTCCCGGAGTTGCGGAGGAGCTGCGCCTAGCCAGAAGGGGTAGAATTGAGCGATATGGAAGAATACCTGATATCCTTCGGGGGCATCTGCTTTCTGCGCCGGGGTGGGTCGGTGGTGTCGCGTCCGATGGTACGTAGAGGTCTTGCGCTCCCGAGGTTAGGTTGTAATCAAAATAGCTCATGTACTTATCGTTCCACATTAGCGCATACATGGCTTCTGACCGATTCTTAGCTAGCTGTTCGAATTCCGTAGCGAGCGTGGTATCGCCACTCTTATCTAGATAACTTGAAATGACCATCTCATTGGCATACAGTATCGAATTCAGGTCTACAGCTACTATATTGTTGGTATTGAGGGAGCGTAGGGGAAATAAACGTCCCTGGCGGCATCTGATGGGTTGGCAATAAATCGTGTGTTATAATCCCATCCCGATTCAGCTCCCGTAGCAAGATTAGATAGAGTAGAGCTTAGCCTTCTCGCTCTCGTTCAGAGGATGCGATTCGGGGATAAATGATACCGGAGGCTGCGTAGTATGACCTATTGCTGGCCGTGATGTAGTCCTCGCGATATGACTGCATCGTAAGTCAGACTTATGCGCGTGGTAAAAGGTTTGGCAGTTACCCAATTGTCAGGCTCATGAGGATTTATGGATTTCGAGAGAAGGGCTAAAGAGAAGAAAATGACATTATTCACATACCTCTGGTCTTGGCTCAGTGTTTTGGACCTCATAGCTGCGCATTTTATATTAGAATGTAGCATGACATTAAATCATAATTCGTAGATATTACTTACTGTGCAAGATGAAAGGTTTTATCGCCCGACGTGATTGTTAATGTGCGGTTCTCTATCCAAAAGTTATGCTCCTTAATAAGAAGAGGCAACGCTCGTTCGAGAAGGCTCGTGTCGTTGGTATACTCAATATAAGTCTTAACCATCTGCGTTAGGAGGGGCGGCTGGGAACGATTTAGATAGTCTGTTGTGTGTTAATTCCCTTGTTATCATAATCTCTCGCTCAACGGGCGTCTCCTGCTAAGAAGGGACACGCATATGATGGGAATGCAAAAATATGTGGTTAACATACTGTAATTGAGTTAGTGTCTGTATTTTGATATGCGTTTAAGTGTGAGATTGTTCGTTCGTACCATAAGCGTGCACCATTGGGAACAAACCCGAACTGTTCCACGAAATCGAGGAAATTTTCAATGATATTCCTGATGGTGTATTAGTATGCTAAACTTGTATTATAATCACGGGGTTAGATAGACGGCTAACCTAGAGATTTGAGTGAAACTGCCACCAGTTCTTAGCAAGCTAGAATCCAGAACGAATCCCAGTAGTAGGGCTCTCTGAACCGGCCACCAGCGACGACGAAAGTACGATTGACCGGAATGAAACTATCGACACATCCCGTGCAGTTGCCGGCACCCACATCTACAAACCCCAACGTTAGTGTATTCAGATACGGTATGATCTATCCTAAGATCGCCGTCTCAACACATGCTTACAAGTCCTGGTCAAATCGGGCCATATATCAATGACCTTTTGTACAAATTGCTTGACTACAGAATCGTCAATGTTATCTAGAAAACAGGATTAGTCTCCAGCTGATCTCTAGGAACTTGAGCTAGCTCGGTCCCGGCCTGGCCGAAGTAAGTCGACAAGAAATCGTTAAGCTCTGTATTGTTACTGAGAGGCTTAGCGAGCTTGTCAAAGGCTTGCAAGAACTTCGTCCAATGGCACCTTTGTCGGTCTGTTTATCTATTAGCTGATGCAATTTCGATCTCAATGATCCTCGATAATTACAAGTCTACAAATGTCTTGGAATCGGAGAAAGGCCGAGCTAATTCGATCTGTTTTAAAACGTCACCTTGACAATAGAGGGGTGAATCACAAGGTGAAAAAGACGAGCCATTTTGGTAGAGACCGTAGACGATGGGAGACAAGACAAAAGCCAATGCCGCCGTTACGCGCCGTAGGCCTGCCATACTCTACACTGCGTCCAAGCTTCTGATGTGATGATGAGCTAGGTCATACGGGATGACAAGTCGAACAATGAGAGAACAGGAACAAGATCACTCGGAGAGACGGCGACTTGAGTCTCGTAGGTGAATTTATAGATTGGTACTAGCTGAGGAGGATCCTTACGGTACCTTGACGCCAGTAGATTGCATGGCTGCTGGGGTAAAACACAATCTAACTTGGAAGCTCTGGAAAGCTTTGGAAGCTATTGCTGTTTGGGGGGGGAGCAAGGGCAACCTGCCATGCCTGCTTATACCCCGGTTGAGTAGTGGCTGGGCACAGTCATGTCATCTTATACTTGCTCGTGATGTTTAACCTATACTAACTAGGACACTAAAGGGAATTCGTTGACGAAGACAAAGTTGTTTGTGGGAATAATATCTAGGTAGTCTCCAATAATACCTGTTAATCAAATTAAACCTTCCAAGGTAATCCATACCTAGGGATATAGAATTAAGCTGTCTGAGTAGGACTTTCTGGAACTTGGGTATATCTACCTGGGTGAACGCATCATATGGCATTAGGTAATAACAACTAAGCTATATGTGTGACATCATTATATTAATTACTTAGGGATGTAGATAGTTAGATACGAGAGATATTCCTGGGACATGTACAGGTCACTAGGATGTTAAATGTTATTTGGTGGAGATGTTACTTGAAGCAGTTAATAAGTATCGTATTGCCTTATTATATGGCAAGATACAAACCCATTCGAAGATTCTAGCATAAGTTTTGCTTGAATAGGTAATTTGGATGATAAAAGTCTTCCCAAAATCGGAGACATATTTATAATTGTATTTTGCCATAATATTTCGAACGTCTTGATACTTTGCTTTCAAGTAACATCTCCACCAAATAACATTTAACATCCTAGTGACCTATATGTTCTAATAATTTGATCCTTTGATCGTTGAACGGGACCATTCTAGCTTTCTCCGCATCTGTGAAATGGGAACCCACTCCCCCGCAATTCTAACCTAGATACGGTTGACCAGACAGGGTACTGTGCCAAAATGAAAAAATATAAAAATTAATTAAGATAAACGGGTAGTTAAGCACGGGTTTATCTAATTAGTTTGGTATTTTATACCTTAAAATGAGAAAAAGGTTTATTTTATTTAAGATATATTTTATGATTTTATACGTATAATATTTATATTTAAAAATTTTGTATTTATATTTATATTTATTAAATTTAAAAATAATTTTATAAATATTAATTTTAAAATAATTATAAATATATTATTAATAATTTAAATTAATGCGAAAATTATAATATTAATTATAATATTATAATATTAATTAAATAATGTATATAATTTATTTAATAATGTTAAAATGTTTTTGTCTTCTCTGCTTCTCTTCCCCCTCCTTCCCTCTGTCCCGTCCCGTTCCCTCCCCTTCTTTCCTTCCTCTCTCTTCCTCCCTCTTTTTCCCTCCCCTCTCCCTCTCTCTCCCCCTCTCCCCCCTTCCCCCCCTTCCCTTTTCTCTCTTCCCTGTCCTTTTTTTCCTTTTCTTCCCCCTTTTTCCCTCCCTCTCTCTCCCTTTCTTTTCCTGCCTTTCCCTTCCCCCTTTCCCCCTGGTTTCCCCCCCGTCTTTTTTTTCGCTCTCCTTTTTTTTCCCCCCTCCTCTTTTGGTCCCTTTTTTTCCCCCCTTTTTCCCTTTTTCCTTTCCCGTTTCTTTTCCCCCTTTTCCCCTTTTTTTTTCTTTCCTTCCTCCTCCTTCCCTTCCTTCCCCCTCTTCCTCCTTCCCTTCCTTCCCCCTCTTCCTTTTCCCTCCCTCCCTTTTTGTCTCCCCCCTCCCTCTTCCTTTCCTTCTTTCCCTCCCTTCTTCTTCTCCCCTCCGTGTTTTCCCTTCCCCTTCCCTCTCCTCTTCCTTCTCCCGTTCGTTCTCCTGTCTCCCCGTCCTCCCCGTTCCCCCTTCTCCTCTTCTCCCGTATCTTTATCTAAATGTCAAAAAATTGGTTTAACAATTAAATAAATAACTTTAAATTAAAAATAAAGGTATTTTAAACGTAATTATAAATGGTTATAAATGGTTATAGGTGGTTATAATGGTTATAAATGTAAACGTATAAATATAATAAGTAAATATCGTTTTAAAAGTTATACGGTATTTTTAAACGTTAAAACTTACGATATTATAACGCAATGTTATATAAACATATAAAAAAAACGAAAAATAGTAAAAACAAAAGATTAACTTTAAGTAATTAAAATAAAGTATTTTAAAACGTTATTATTGTTTATTATATTATTATCGATATAATTTTTAAATGTATATTAAATATGGTTAAAATATTAAATAATAGTTAAAATTAAAATTTAAAAAACGCTTTTTTTAAAACTTATAAATATAACATATAAACCAAAGGTTTTATAACGTTTATAACGTTAACAAAAAAAAAACGTTTTTTAAATTTTTAGTTTTAATACATTAAAATAAATATAAATTAAATAATTTTATTATTATTTATTTTAAATAATATAATTATTATTAATAAATAATTAAAATTAATACGAAAATATATTTAAAATGTTTATTTATTTTATTTTAATGTGTTAAATTAAAATTTAAAAAACGGGTTTTATTTTTTTTTTTTTTTCGTTAACGTTATAACGTTACGAAACCTTTGGTCCGTGTGTTTGTATTTATAAAACGTAAAAAAAACGTTTTTTAAATTTTAGTTTTAAAACGTTTATGGTTTTTAACCGCATTTAATATATATTTATTTAAATTTTTAATAAATATTTAAACTTTTAATAAAACATGTTAATAATAATATAATAATAATAATAATGTTTAAATATCTTTTATTTTTTATTTAAAGTTAATTTTTTATTTTTATTACCTTTTTATTTTTTTACATGTTTTATCGGTATTACGTTATATATTATAAGTTTCAACGTTTAAATAACTTTAAACGTTATATTAACGCGTTTATACATAACCATTTATAATTATTTATAACCATATTTAAATACTTTTATTTTAATTATTTAAAGTTAATTTTTTATTTTCGTTATTTTTTTGTTTTTTTTATATATTTATATAATATTACGTTATAATATTATAAATTTTAACGTTTAAAATACATAATAACTTTAACGTTATATTTATAATTATTTATAATTACTTATAATTACATTTAAAATATTTTTTTTTTTTAATTTAAAACTATTTATTTAATTACTTAAACATTTTAACTTTTTTTATATATTTATAAAATATTACGTTATAAAGTTATAAGTTTTAAACGTTTAAATTATAACGTTTAATTATAACGTTTATTACGACCGGCGTTACGACCGGCGTTATAACCGGCGTTACAACTGGTTTTATAATTAATTTTAACTTAAAACGCATACGTTTTATTTAATAATTATTTAAATAATTAAATTAATATTTGTTTTTTATATAAAAACTTTATTTATTATAAAAACGCGTTTAAAATTTTTTTTTCCTTTCCTTTTCCTCTCTTCTCTCTCCCCCCCTGTTTCCCTTCTTTTCCCCTCCCCTTCCCCCTGTTTTTCCCCCCCCTGTCTTCCCCTGTCCTTCCTTCCCCCCCGTTCTCCTTCCCCCCCCTCTTTCCTTTTCCCCCCTTTTTCCCTTTTTCCTTTCCCTTCCTTCCCCTCCCTTCTTTCCTCCTTTCCCTTCTCTCTTCTTTCCGTTTTTCTCCCCCTCCCCTCTCCTTCCCTTCTCTTCTTTTCTCCCTCCCTCTCTCCTCTTTTGTCCTCCCCTCCTTTTTCCTCTCCTCTTCTCCTTTCTTCCGTTCTCTCTTCTTTCCTTTCTCTTCTTCTCTCTTCTCCTTCCTCTTCTTCTTTTCTGTCCCCTGTCTTTGTTTTCTCCCTGGCCCTCTCTGGTCCTCCCCCCGTTCCGGTCCTTGGTTTCCCTTTTCTTCTCTTCCTCCCCC